ATTAATATTTAATTATATTAATTATTATATTATTATAATTAATATAATATACCATAAATATTTAAGATAATAAAATATTATATAATATAATTATAATATCTTATTATATAATAAAATAATAATATTAGAATTATTAATATAATTATGATATTATTTGTTATAATATTACAACTATATTATATTCTATCATATTATTGTATTATATTGTAATATTATTGTACATTATATTATATAATACATTATTATAGAATATTAAATAAATATATTATAATTTATAACTATATTATAAATTAAATTAAATTATATCATAATATTTTTATTATATATTATATTATATTATATTACATATTATAACATATAACTACTATATAATATATTGTAATTATATTATGATATTCAAAGATAATTATGAAAAAAAAAAAGAAGAAAATAGTTTGGAATGATGATTCCTCCCATGTGAGGAAGGAATGATGATTCACGTAAAATGGGTGAATGACCATTTCTTTTGAATGACCATTCATTTTTTTATAAATCTAACCAAACATCATACTTAGATTTCATTCCATTTTATTCATTTCCTTTTCACCTAACCAAACACACCTTTAGTGATTTCTGAGTCTTATATTTGTGTTTAGGGTTTTTTTTTTTGCAATCCATATAATGGTCTACCACTAGCATTTGGATTTCGGGGTATAAATCCAAATTGTCTGTTTTTTTTCCCATTCTTGCTCCTTATATAGTAAAGATTTTTACACAAAATAATAATCACTTAGAATTTTATGTATTTATCCAGCAGAACAAATTATTATTATTATTATTAATTATTTACATGACATATAAGACAATTGATATTTTTATTACTTACATGTATGTAAGAAAATAATTAGATGAACGAAGAGCAAGACAGAACAAAATATTTGGATTCGTTCCTCTATTATAAATCACTATTTTCCAAACTTGTTACGCAACTAAAGTGTGTTTGTGTCCAATAAAAATAATCATCACGTTGAAAAATGAAAACTAATGGTTTGGACTTGGGTAAAGTAATAGAGAAAATTAAGAGGAATATGTGTGCGCACAAAGTTGATAGGGGAAGCTTGCACTTTCCGCACTCCTATTACCCGACTTAAGGGGCAACACCAACATGTGAGAAAGATTCTCTGCTTTTTCACTCTACTTGCAGTGTGTTGTTAAGGTAGATGTATCAGACAATTCACAGTCCACAGGACTCTGGTGGGCTCCACTTAATCAACATCGTCCCCTTAAGCGTGGGACCCACAAAATGAACAGCCAACCACCATATTAATATTATCCACACGAGAATTTTATTTTTCTTTTTTTTATTTAAAAAAAAAACAAATTAATTTCATTTCGCTCGGATAAAGAGGTGGCGAGACACCCTGGACCCGCACATTCCTCTGTAATCTGTTCATCTTTGACCTTTGACTGCCCACTTAGTTATCACACTAATAGCAGACAACTCAAACCTAATTAATTCCCATCTACTTTGTCATGGTGCCATTTTATTTCTGGGATATTTCTTTTCCATCCTAGGTAATTATGGGTTTTTCAATTTGTTGCCAATATATATAAGATTATGTTTCACTCCCCCTTCAGCCCTTTACTTGAAAGTATTTTTTAGTGAATAGATAAATAGTTAGATGCCCATTTTCTAAAAATTGTTATTTTTCTCTTACCAATACTCCCATTGTTAGAATTGCTTTCTTCTTTTAATATTCTGCACGCCTTAACTTTCTTTTTTCCTTAAATCTTTCCCTTTTGTGAAATCATGTTTGAGTCCAACCTTGCAACATAAATGAAAGAGTGAGGGGAAAAGAGTTATCATCTTTAGGTAAATGGGTTCGAGAAGCGTGTGAATGTAATATAGCAATAAAAAAAAAGGAACTCTCTAGTTGGTGATGAATTAGCACAGCTAAAAGGTTTCTTTTTGGTCTTTAAAAAATTAAATAAAAAGATCAAAAGTTATTTTTACTAATAAACTTCTGCTATGAAGTTTGTTGTTGTAGCAACTTTACATTTTCTTTTTTCCTTTTCAAGTTATGAGGATAATGTATATTGAACGAAACTATAATTTTAAACTATATCGTTTTTAACTTTATCATATAAAATTTTAACCATTGCTTTTAATGTTTTTAAAATCTAAAAAGGGGTTGTCCCTAAAAGTGAAAAACCAAAATGAAGACAATGCCACTTTAATTAAAATACAAAAAAAAAAAAAAAAAAAAGCTTTGAGACATAATACCATTTGTTGTCACCAGTAATTTCTTTGGGGACACATGTGTTGAATATTGAGACTGGCACTTTAAAATGGGTGCTCTTTCCATTCAATCACGAGACTAGATTTGATTTGCCATCATAATATTATTCATACAGATCATGACATAACGTTGTCCACCTTAAATTACATCACCTCCAAACAAAGGTCTCCCGCATTTCTAAATTCCCATCTCAGAGAATTTACAACCAAAAGAGACTTTTTAAAGAAACGGGTAAAACTGAAAAAATGATAAACAAGGGAGGGCACAAGAGCAAAGACCATTATCCCCATTAAATGAAACGATGCTCAATCAATCTCCACAAAACAGTAGTGGACAGCGAGTCGCATAACATTATAACAATCCTTGACGTAAATAGGAGTGAAAGAAAGATTTTCTTTTAGGCTTTGAGAGAGAATCCGTGGGACCCAAAACCTCCGTCGCACATTTTCCCTTTGACCAAACTCCTTAATAGTCCTAAACCCAACCAGGGGTTTTTTTTTTTTTTTTTTTTTTTTTTTTTTTTTCTCAAAGTTAAATTGGCCACCACACGTGTGGCCAATTTTGAGTCAGACGAAAGAGGCAGAGGTGGTCAGCAAACCAGCAGTGCAGAGCAGGATCAGAGAGAGATAATAGTCCTTGTTTAGGCCAAACTGTTGTTGAGCTTTTGGGTATATTATGTCCCTCTGTTCTCACTTGGTATAAGACTGAACTCTCTCTCACATACACACAATAACACAAAAACCAAACCAAAGCCAAAACAGAATTTTGCAGACACCCGCTCAGTGTTTTTTTCAGTTTCAGAACTCAAAGTTTCCTCTTTCCCTCCATTATTTATTACATTTACAAATCACCAAATCCCCTTCCTCTTCATTCTTGTTGTTTATATAGATACATAGATACAGAGAAGAGATAAATAAGAGTAAACAAGAGTTCATACACTTTCTTATTGGTAATATTATGCCTGGGAGTTTAGAGCCGTTGGATTTAGGGGTACAGATACCGTACCACTTCAGGTGCCCAATCTCGCTGGAGCTGATGCGAGACCCGGTCACCGTTAGCACCGGTCAGACCTACGACCGAGCAAGCATCGAGTCTTGGGTGGCTACTGGCAATACCACGTGTCCGGTCACCCGAGCCCCGCTTACAGACTTTACTCTCATTCCCAATCACACTCTCCGCCGCCTTATCCAGGACTGGTGCGTCGCCAACCGCTCCTTCGGCGTCGAGCGAATTCCGACGCCAAAGCAGCCAGCCGACCCGGCCATGGTACGCTCGCTCCTCACCCAGGCCTCCTCCGAGTCCACCCCAGCTCCGACTCGCCTCTCCGCGTTGAGGCGACTCAGAGGACTAGCCCGCGACTCCGACAAGAACCGCTCCGTTATTTCCTCGCTCAACTCGCGCGAAGTCCTCCTCGACATCGTCTTCGCCGGCGCGAGCTCTGATTCGTCCGAGCTGAGCCGCGAGGCGCTCGCGGTGGCTGTGATGTTCCCGTTCTCCGAGATCGAGTGCGCCGCGGTGGCGTCCGAGCCGGACCGGGTTGCGTACCTGACTCGCCTCCTGTTCCACTCCTCGATCGACGTCCGAGTAAACTCGGCGGCGATGATCGAAATCGTCGTCGCCGGGACGCGGACGCCGGAGCTCCGGTCTCAGATCAGCAATGTGGACGAGATCTTCGAGGGAGTGATCGAGATTCTTCGGAGCCCGATCGCGTACCCTCGCGCTCTCAAGGTTGGAATCAAAGCGCTCTTCGCGATGTGTCTGGTGAAGCAGACGCGGCACAAGGCGATCGCCGCCGGAGCGGCGGAGATCCTGATCGACCGGCTGGCCGACTTCGAGAAGTGCGACGCGGAGAGGGCGCTGGCCACGGTGGAGCTCCTCTGCCGGATCCCAGCGGGGTGCTCGGCGTTGGCGGCGCACGCGCTGACGGTGCCGCTGCTGGTGAAGATAATACTGAAGATCTCGGACCGGGCGACGGAGTATGCGGCGGGGGCGCTGGTGTCTCTTTGCTCTGCGTCGGAGCAGAGCCAGAGGGAGGCGGTGGCGGCGGGGATTCTGACGCAGCTGTTGCTTCTGGTGCAGAGCGACTGCACGGACCGAGCCAAGCGAAAGGCGCAGCTCTTGCTCAAGCTTCTTCGGGATTCGTGGCCCGAAGATTCCATCAGGAATTCTGACGATTTTGCTTGTAGTGAAGTTGTGGTACCCTTCTGAGTATTTTTTTCTTTTCTTATCTTCCTTAATCCTTAATTTTATTTTTTCTTCAGTCTAATCTGAATTTTTTTGTTGTTATTAGCAATTGAAAAAAAAAGAATGAAAGAATAGAAAGTTCAGATTTTTAGATTGGTATATAGAGATTTGTAATTCTGTATGTTTTTGTATGTAAGAATGTTGCGAAGGCAAATTACAAAACGAAAATTGTGAATGTTGCTCATCATTGTATTGCATATTTTGGTCTCATTTATTTTATCAAAATTATTATAATTAAAAATTCTTACAAAATTCACATTTAATTTTTTTATTATAATTAAAAATTTACACATAAAATTATATCTAGTTTAAATTAAAAATCCAAGTGAATTGAAGGAGACATTTAAGTTTTTGTTTAATTTTTTTGTTCATAATTGGGGTAATTTGTTGTTAAACTAATTAGGTGATTAGTTTGAGAGTTGGTGTTTTGAGTTTTCAGTCGTTTGGTGGAATCTTCTGCGCTAATGGGCACTTGGTTGAGCGACAACATTTCTGACATTATGAATTACGTAAAAAAAAAAAAAAAAAAAAAAGGGTTCCTTTCGTAAGTGACTGTCTTTTGACCCTTTTTTTAATTTTTTATTTTCTTTTGTTTAAAACAAATTTGGGGTGACAAATGTGTTGTCTTGTGCCTGTTACAGTTACCTTTTTCCTGACAATTAGATATGAACGTTTAGATACCTTGAGTGGGCCTTCTGTTTTCTTGTTGCAATTTGGTCTGCCTTGGCTTTTTTTGGGGAGTTTCAGACTGCTCAGATTACATAGAAGGTCGTAAATCACAGTATGGTTGATTATGAATTAGGCTTCTGTACATTATTCTCTACATAGAGGGATAAGAATTGCACGTCAAGTGCTGTTCATGACACATTTTTATTCATGCCTTTAATTCCTTTGGGATTGGAACAAGGTTTTGTGGTCCTTGTCCTTGTGATTTCTTTCATTAGAATAATTTGACGAATTATAAAGAAGATTTTGTTTGCAAAACCCAAGCCGAAGTTTGGCTTCAAACATTTGGGACCATGCATGAGTTGTTTCAAATATATTTTAAGGCCATTCATTGCGACCAAAGATGAGTCTTAATGGAGGTAATTGCATAGCAAGGAAGCTAGTGCTCCATGTCATCAAATAATTCGTAAACATATTTTTCAACCTATCATACCACCAATGATAATGACATGGTGGTAAATATGTCTGTCCCAAGTCTACCTCATTCACACTCGAGGGTTCGAATCCCCGTGTCCTCACAAAAACATAAAAGAGTTTCAACATCAAAAGTGGCAATGTGGCGAAATTTATGTCGTGCACAAATAGAGAATAGCGTGAGGACACTAACGATCTTCTTAACCTAAAAAATAAAAATAAAAAAGCTTACTATGTTTGGATGGTGGAGGCACTATTTTGGTAAGGTGAAAAATTGAAAATGGGGGCCTTTCAAAATTTTGTTTTGACTCAAAACACACTAAATATAGATTCTGTCCCACATGCAGGCTAAAGGTCTACACACGAGATTATGGCATGTTAACAACGTGGGGTCATAAGGTTCCCACTCCAGATTTTGTAAAAAGAGGGTTTATGGGCTTGAAAATGTATAAGAAGATGATTGATCAGCGTCACATGTGGGTGGAATATAACCGTGGAATCACATGGGCTTCGTCCTCATTTCTTATAATGGTGATGGCTACTAGTGCTCACATGCCAAACACAGCTTTGTTCCTATTCTTTCCGTAATTGAATACCACCATACGAGTTTGGAATCTTTGTCCCTTGGAAATACTTTGGTAGACGGTTAAATCTATGGTCAATTTGTGTTAGCGACCAATGACCAATCTAACGTATTGTTTGAGGGGTGATCTGACTCCTAAGATTGCTCTAAGTTGTGATCAATAAGTAGAAATGATGAGAAGAATTTAGAATGGATCACCCTCAATGTAAAAACTTATATCCACAATGGAGGCAATGAATAATTTATTTTAAAGAGAAAAAAACACTAAGTGCATAAGACTGAAACATGAAGGCGTAGGGTACTTCTTTATAGCCGAGAGAAAATGCCCCTTGGAGGTGAGAATAAACCTTCTAGTTTTCTAATTTAAACTAGGATTTCGTATTCAAATTTGAAGATACTTTTCTTATGACAATAAACAAAGTCAACTTTCCTTGTAGATTAATTTTCATGAAATCAATAAGTAATAATTCAAACTAGATTTGTCCATGAATTCTCAAAGTACAATGATTGTAGTATTCGTAGTTGCGCTCGATGTGACACATTGGCTGAATAGTTGACTTCAACCCATGGAGCATTCATATTGTGTCGACTCTCGAACTAGGATGAGTCATCTTTTGACGAATCATAGCTAATTCTTCAAGTTGTTTCTTGGGAAATTGACTCTCTTTACTGCGGTAATCTGATCATAGAGCTTATCTGTTCATATATCGATCCAAATTGACACATGTATGGGATTGAGGTATGAAATCTGACATCAGCACCTTTGATGTATGTAGTATGGTGCATTTGTGTCTCAATTAATCTCCTCCAAGCTGATTAATGATCAGTAGGTTAATATTAGTTTTAGAGGGGAAAAATGTCAAAAATTTCACTCTAGACAAGGTTATTTAACTTTACATTATGGTTTACTCATGTAACATTATTCATATGGAGTGTGTGTGTTACTTTCTCTCTCTCTCTCTTTATATATATATATATATATATATATATATATATATATATATATATATATATATATATATATATATATATATATATATATATATATATATATATATATATATATATATATTCTCATTACCTTGGGTCTCCTGTAACATTCATAAGGTCTACTACGATCTATAAGTACTAGCTAGAAACTCGCTCAAGCATTTTATTAAATTTCTGATCATACTTTTCCCCCCACAATGAAACTGTTTTCATACTCGTATTGTCATATCCTAAAGTGTATGTCAAAACTTTGTTGGGTAATTATAGATTGTTGGTGACAATTATGGACTTCGGATTCCATACTTTCGAAGTATGATCATTGCCTTTATCACGGTGGAGAAAATAAGGGAAAACATATATAGACCCAGAAGAAGAATCCAAAAAAGAAACAAGAATATTATCTTCTAAAATGTCAAAAGTATTTTCTTAAAAAAGTGCGAAAATAAAAATTATTAGAAACTTCGTGTTTTGTACCTTTAGAATAACATTAGCTAGATGGTACTCTTTGAAGACTTGCTTTCTCCTCGTGCATGGTTTTCACATTTTGAAAGGCTAATAAATCTTCAAATTAATTATGGTTATGATGATGCACGATTTGCGTGTGTTCATACACCTAATTTGGCAAGATCTCATGCAAAGGTGGTCGGTCCTTTAGAGTTGGCTTTGACTGCCAAAGTTTTGAGCCGTGCAAGGGGACTTTAGTTTTTATTGTTTTTTCCTATTTAATAATAGTGAGGATTTGTAGTTAGTTGTTAATTAGTTTAGTATGACTGCTAATTATGTTATCTGTTCTAGTGGTCGGTAGCCGTCAGGGATCCATTAATTTGTTGGCGTGGGAGAACTTTTCTTTTTAAAATCTTTTCTCGTGGAAAATGATTTCGTTGAAAATCATGTGCTTTTTGTCTATTGAAATGCATGATTTTGTCGTTGAATAACTAGAAGAAAATTGTAAATACGGAATGGGCTCCATAGAAATTTGTGGGTTATTTTCAAGCAAAGTAAGTAGAGGAATGCTATTTTAGGACGCGTTTACTTTGAGAATTCTCTCTTTTATATAATCATGTGTTTATTTACAAAATTGATAATGAGAATTCAATATACCTTACACAAATATCAAGAACGAAAGTGGAAATACTAATAATTCTTATACCTCGCCTTAGTATAATTGATTTTTAGTTAAAGACAATTGATGCCAAATTGACTTTTAAATTCTTACCAAGTTTAATGTTATGAGATAATGATAGTTTATTTATGTAGAAACATAATTTAGTGATTACATTGATAAAATTCCTATTCTTAAATTTAATAAACACTAGAAAGAGAATTAAATTATTTCTCATTTCATTACTAAATAGATAAGTAATAAACATTAGAAAGGCCAACATAATATGTTTAACCAAAATTGTTCATACCAGTCAAAACGGTAACCTACAAGATTATCAATGGTAATCTTCTCTCGTTGTTCTATATTGTCCATCGAAGGTGGGGCAAACAGGGCAGCGATCTGACTAGTCATTGTAACCAAGGACGTAAAAGCTCCCAAAAAAATTGAAAATGAAATCTTATCCCTCAAAAAAGTAATAAAGGGAAAGAAGACAAATACATATTTAAGTATCGTTCATTTCATTGATTTGAGTTTAGAATTTAAGTTTTGCTATAGTAAAAAATTTTAAAAAACAGTTACATCTAATTTTTTTACTACAGTAACATAAAGTCACATCTAACTCAAATTAAAAACTATAATCAACGAATTAAACGAGCCCTTAATGACTTAATCTCGATATACCTTTAACTTCTTAAAAAGCGGAAAAAAAGTATACACAAAAATAAAGGACCCTAACTTTCTCCTTTTACATGACATTCTCTCTCCCCCAATTTCGACAATTCTGCAGAAATTCCTTTAACGTTGAAGTCACAACTATAACTAAATTCCAAAATTTTCATCTTCACCAAACAAACACAATAACCAATTAGCAGCGACAAGCGAACCCTTCACTTTTATTTTTAGTACGTAACTTGCTTTACTTTTATTTTCATTTTTTCTTTCATTTGTGCAATTCTTTAATTTCAATAAATTATAATAGTAGATAGTTGAATAATAATTTACTCATATACACCCCCAAAAAAAATCTTTAATGGTCTTATAATAAGATTATTGTGTAACATTAATTTTCAATATATAAAAACATATCAGCTGGCCAGAGATCAAGACGGAGGGCCATGGGGGCAGTGGGGAGCCATGGCCCCCGACTAAAGGCAATTTTATTTAATATATTAGGAGTTGTTTAGTTGACTCATTTTTTTTGTGACAAGTGTCAACTCATTTTTCTCAAACAACTCACTTAATAACAACATACTTTTTTCATGTTTATTGCAAGAGTGTCACCCTCATATTTAACCCTCCATTTCCCGTGTATTACTTTGTA